GCTCTTTGCATTAACTCAAAAGTATCATCTGCTGTTCGTTTTCCAGGATGTTCGTCTAAAATAGGATATTTCACAGAATGACCAGTACCATGACGAACTCGTACACCTGGATGTAAGCACCAATTACAACCGTAATATCCGTTAAACTGGACGGTGCCTTGCATAGGCGCGCGAGCTACAGAATCTACACAACAGCAGAGTGCATACACATGCAAATTTCTTTTTTAATTTTGTACCTGACATCTTATTCCTTTCTTTGAAAGTTCATTGATATATTCCACAAAAGGTCGCATGAAATACGTCATGTTTGGTTTATCACGACCAAACCATAGTGCACAAGTAATTGTTTTTTGCAAGCGAATATTTAGTGGAATTTCATTCACAACTATTTGTATAGGCCAAATAGAATATTTGGAATTTTTGAAAGTTGGACTTCCATCACTATTGAACGTCACTGTTACATAAGACTCTTTTTGATCAACCGGTAATGATTCAACAAATTTTTTATATTTGTGACCGTCGTGAATATCTTCGAAAACAACATCAGGTTGTTTATTTCTCCGAGAAACAATATCACAATAGAAATCATCATTTGTTTCGATCAATCTTTGTATTTCGCCTACTATATTGAACATGGTAAAATAATCGCTATAAGAAGGATCTTTCAAGTTTACCTCATTTTCACATGCTTCACAAAGTATCATTTTCTGTCTTTTAGCAAAGATTCCGATGTAAGATTTACAAACCGGACATATAGAGTGATACTCCTGATCTCCTTCTGGATTAAATAGTTTATCAAATTGATAGCGATTTGCTGGAAACATCTCTTTATTAAAAAACATATTGAGCATTTTGAACATATCTATGATTGCTATTGTTGGAATGTGATATTTTGTACAATATTTTAAAACAGCCAATATCATTTCTATTCTACTGACATTTATCTGTACTTTTGGATCAGGTTCGTTGTAGTCGTCACTGTTCATAATTTCATGTAATTTTTCGAATCTGTTTTCAAAGACTTCATTTTCGTCAATTGATAAATCATGGAAATTTTCTTCGTCACTACTTTCCTCAAAAAAATTTTCATTATATTGTGATGACGGATGTTCCTAAGAAAAATAAATTAACTAACATTATTTATCAATTAGAAGATTGAAAATTCCACGAAATCTCGTTTAGTTCATTCTCATTTGAAATTTAATTTTTTAATTGTATAGGCATAGGTTCCACGTAGAAATCCAGCTGGATATCCACGTTGATACGTCTGGAATCCAAGTGGATTTTTATGGATTTCTATATGGAATCCAGGTGGATATTATCGTTTGTTCCATAAATGCGTTCGAGACGAATTACCGGTTTATTTCCGTGTGCATCTTTTTCGACAAATCCAGATGGATTTCATACGTTTTTTGTATTGAAAATTTTTGTATAACTGGTCTTTTATGCAAGATTATTATCTTCAATAACTAACTGTTCTACCAATTAAAAAAAATTTTAATATAAAAATAATAAGCAGCAAAACAAACAATAAGATACTGAAAATAATTATTTAACATAAGAGACGGTTTTATCAACATTTTTAGTCTTAGTCCAGTCATTCTGGCACCAAAAAGGGCCTGAAAAAACAATAATTGTGAGAAGCAATTTTATTGCATGGAAACTTTGGTCAGGTGCTGTTAAGTAGGAATAAACTTCATCCGGCGAAAACAAATGGCTGCGTCATTAACAAATTAGCGAAAAAACAGGTCAAAAATACGTTTTTTCGCTTTTTAACCAAGTAATTTTTTATCTAGGTCTACTTAACTCTAACCCGTTTTGGGCATTAAAATTACCTATAATTTTAATTGTCGCACGAAAAAATCGAACTAGAATTTATTCAGTTATCGCATAAAAACCATAAAAATTACATTAACAATTTGCAGAAATTTACTTTTCAACACCATGGAATCTATGTATTTTTTATCGAACAAAGTTACATATCAATTTGAATAAATTTAAATATTTAAAACTGCGCTTGTAAGCGTAATTGTTAAACTGCGCTTGTAAGCGTAATTGTTAACTAAAAAACTTTTTTTTGCATATTAATTAATCAAATCTTGCGATTTGCGCTGTCGGTTAGTTATCAGCAAGGGCTCGTTCCATTCGTCGGAAGTTCCATTTTAACTTAGACTAACTTCCGTGATAATTTTTTTATCTTAAATTGTTCATAAATAGCTTTGAAGTAGCTACTCTGGATTTCTTACTTAACTAATGGAATATTTTTAATTACAAACTTGATTTTTAAAAATAATTGATGTCATCTTAATATTTGAATTTTTCACGAATTTTCAAAAAAAAAAAAATGAACTTGCTAAGTGCAATAGGAACGAAGATAGGATTTTTTTTACAAAATTCCCACGCCTTTAATCATTAACTTTCGTAAATTTGGTTTACTGCAATGTTTTCAGCGATAGTTGAAATTTTATAAAAAAAACCAATCTGTTCACTGCGTTGAAGCGTCATCTTGGAATTCATGTTCTAATAACGAGATAGTGATCTGCCGCTGTGGACCCGGTGGGGGAAAAGAGATTGGTGGCTGTGTTCAAGCAAAAAAAAACTGTTGAGCGCGTTCAAATCGAAAACGGCAACATTTTTAACATTTTCTCGCAACTATTGCATTAATTAATTAATTAATTAATTAATGCAATAATTAATTAATTAATTAATTAATGCAATAATTAATTAATTAATTAATTAAACACCGATTCTTACAATTAATGTTTTTACAAATGCCAGAATGCCTGGACTATCTTAAGAACATACGAAATTTACGAAGATTTTGGCTATATTGTTTCAATTTTGTCTATATTTTTACGATTCGCTTTGTTTTTAACTGCATATCAATTGGAAAAACACAATTTATCAACTATTAAAAAAAGACATACAAATAATGTAAGAGATACGCTTGAATTTTTTCAGAATTTTTGATCAATAAATTTTTTTTTTCTTTTTGTGTTAATATTTGTGATGCAGCAGTAATATATAATAATTTTACAGAAGGAAAGGTTTTTATAAATTTCAATAAAAAACACTTAAGAAATCCATATGGATTTATCACAATAATTCACCTGGAATTTCATCTTGAAAATCCAGCTGGAAACTCAGTACACAAAATGTACACAAAACTATACATTTATCAATTGAATTTCCAATATAGAACAAAAAATGATTTATAATCTTACTATATCCTGTACTTGACTCCTGATAGATTGATTATAGACATCTGAATCTGTTTCCCATTGACTACTGCCAACTAAAAATTATACATATATAAATTATAATGTTTACCTTTTTATCTGTTTATCTACTTCACATAATATTTTACACATAAGTATTTCAATTATTTGATCTGAATATTTCTCCCTACCTCTAGTTTGATTTGAAGAAATAACGCTATTACTTAAAGTAGTAGAGTTAGCTGCACCATAATATGGAATAGATAATTCCAATGATTCATTGTTTGTAACTGAAGATAAATAAAAATAGAAAATTTATAACATTGCTTATTTATTAATTGATAAATTGATGAATATTTTTGTCTCTTACCATTTGAAAATTCAAGTGTTGATACATGAACTTCAGATTCACTAGAATTATTTCTCAGCCTTCTCATAATACTATCTGTACTAACTGAATTATTTAGAGGGTCGTTAAATTCTGTTGAAGTAGAATTGAGAGTACTATAAAGTTTCTCAGAAGAAGAGTCCATATTCTGTAATATATAATTAAATTTATTCATTAAAACGTAAATATTGAAATTATATTATAATTATGAAAGCTGTTAAATATATATTACTTGCTTACTTTACTTTTACTTCACTTTACTTTACACTTTACTTGCAATATATATTACTTGCTTACAATATAATACTTGCTCTTTTCTGATATGTTAATATAAACTCATTTGATATTATAACGCTCTTAGCACTGATCACATATACTGATTTAATAAATTTTAATATCACAATAAATAATATAAATGTTGACAGCTGAAACGATTGTTCTCGAATAATAATTCTAGTCACTACCATAGATTTATGTTTAACCGTAAACTATATAATTAAGTAAATTTATATAATATACAAAATATATATAAACTGTAAATTCTGTTAACGCAGAATTGCATGTGTAGTTAGTTTTGTTGCAACGCTTCTTAGCGGTGAAACTAGGAACTATAATGACATCTGGACAAAAGAGACATTGTGATCTAAATTAACTAGCCATTCTAGCCAAAAGCAAGGAAATGCCTTATGCATAAAAGTTCTTTGTCTTACACTTTGTGTAAAACTTCTATGCGTTTGAGTTTTGACCGGGTATTGCGTCTAATTCATTAGTGATCATTATTATAAAGTTTCTAGTTTAATTATGAGTAATCAATCTAATCAGTCTACTAAAATGAAACCGGGAATGTATGCTAAAATAAAGTATATCGAAGACAATGTCCGCAGCACAATTCCCGTTGAGGAGATAATTGAATTTGCCTCAAATCCAAATGACGCCATTGATTTCGATAAAGATTCAGTGTACACCGTTTTGTGGCAAAATAATAGTAAAGCAAGTTTTAGCGAACTTGCTATTCTAATAGCATCTGTAAAAAGTGAGTAACTTTTTTTTTTAATAATTTATTATAAATTTGAAATTACAATCAAAATAATTTTCATTTTCAGTGATTAGAAGTGATGAAGAGTTCAATGAATTTGCTGAAAAAAGGGGCATCTTCAGTGTTTTACATAATTCTATTTTGGAACGCTACTACTCTCAAGATAATGTTCATGTGGATGTAGAACCAACATCAAAAAATAAAAAAATGATTAAACCTATTAGTAGATCAGATGCAGATAAGAAATTGATTAGTTTGGTATGTTAAAATATTTGTCACCATTTACTATGTTTAAATAGCTAGAAATAATTTATAATATATAATTTATTTTTATTTACAATTTTATTTCACAGAAGCATGAAAATGATGCCCAAAAAAAAATACTCGACCAAAAATTTGAAAAATTTATATGCACAGCAAATACTCTTGACATGGGCCAAAAAGTAACTGAGAATTGCTATGTAGGCAACGCTAATAGTTCATTGATCCATTGCAAGACACAGACAAAAATGGACTTAGAAGAACGTAATTTACTAGAACTAAAAATTAAAAATTTAGAAAAGGAATGTTTAATGTTGAAAAACGAACAGACTAAATTAAAGAACAATATAGATATATTGAACGCACGCTTGGAGACATATACAATATTAAATGAGAGATTACAAATAAAAAATTATTGCTATGAACAGAGGTTGAAAGAACTAGGGAATGACAAAGAAACAATTGAAAATGAAGTATATGAACAAAAGCTGGATCCAGCAGTACAGGTACTGAGATGTCATATTGATATAATTCATTTAAACTGTTTTTTTTTATTTTAATAATGAACGCCAGATGTATATAAAATGTTTAAGGTGATTTGTTATTTATAAAAATCATATGTACTAACAAAAGAACTTAAACCTTTAACAAATATAGTGTAAAAATACTTTTCGCATTTTAAAAAGCAATAATTATTTTTGAATGATTAAATGTCTTTTGTTTGGCTATAACATTTACAAAATATATTTATAACTTTATAGTTATGATTTTTAATAATGCGTTATTTCAGATTCAGACAAGACTATATTGTTCTTTTTTTACTTTATAAAATATTTTTAAATTATTTTGTTGTTATATTTCTCTGTTGCCTAAAGTAACTATTTTACAGAAGAAAGAAACATGTAGGTCATGAAACTTTATTAATATTGTTTTTATAAGCTTGTTTCGAGTCTTTTGTTAGTTTATTACAGTGAAACTGTAAACAGCACTAAATACAAAATCCAACAATTTGCCTTGGTTATTATGATACTATTAAATTTTGAATCTTTTAATATCTATCCTTAAAGCTAAAATCTTTCTCACTTCAGTTGGCGTTAAACACCTTGCTATAGCATCTGCACCACAATAATCAGCAAGTTCTTTCATTTTTTCGATACCCACAATTGTGGTGTTTACGTAAGCCTGGCAAATTTGTCTCTAATAAATCACAAAGTCATTGTAGCCAAATAACTTGCAAAAGATCAAACTTCTTTATCAAATATGATGAGCTCACCAGCCTATAGAAATAACACAAATTTCAATGAAAATAATTACAACAATATTAATTCAACTTGAACATTAATTTTAATTTTACTTTAATCTCCAACATACCCTATTAAACGTAGATTTCAAAACTAATTTTTCCAAACAAGCAGTTACGTATACTGTCATTATGCCTACCAGTGTAAAGTAATTTGGTTCTGTTAGGCTATTTTTAAAAACTTATTATTCCAACTAGAATTGTCAAAGCAAATGATCATGTTCATCTATCAGTAAAAGTATTCATTGATGATAAACTACACTTCTGAGTTTCTATACTAATTATTTCTGCATTATTCAAGTATGCCTGTAAAATATAATCAAGTTCCTAAATAACTTAATTATCTATTTAAAATCTGGCCAGCCAAAGCTAAAAAATACTACAATAGTAGATAACAAAAGATAGAGAACACACAGATTTAAGCTATAAAGCTACTAAATGCTCAGACTTTCATTATAATTACCAGAAAGATTAATCTTGCAAGCTCTGTATCTGACGTATGAATAGATCCTTGCTGAATACTTGTCGGCAAAACATTATAAGCTTGGGCTAAATCTAAATAGCCTGCAGAATAGCCGTGTCTAAATCTATTGCGCAACTGTCCACAAAATTTTTCTTCAAGCAAACCACATGACATGTTTATAACAGCACATACATGTGCCATCAATGCTTGATATTGATGACTTGATATTGATTTTCTGATGCATTTTCCCATAATGAAAAATACATCATCAAGACATCAACCATACTAGAAGTCTGTTGTTCTTGATCTAATGCATCCATACCAGGGAGACGTATACAGTCTCCATGATCCATACCAATACTTTCAACCGCCAAGAAGACAGCCCGACAAAAATTAAAAAAGTTAAAAAAAAATGATTATATTTGACGTATTTTTAATTGTGCTTTCCTAAAAAATCATTAACTTTAATTGTACCATCATATTTTTTATAACAAACGAAAATTATCGATCTTGATTATTCGCCATTGATTCCTTAAGTCGGGAAATAAAATCAAACATAAATAAGTATACAGAAAAATTTTACCTTCAGTAAAATAAATTGTATCATCAGTAGAATTGTGAAATGTTTTTTCTAAAAGAAATAATCAACAATCTAAGAAACTACAGCATAACTGCCAGTAAGTCGTGCGGAAATGGACTATGCGCAGACGCAGAGAGCTTTCAAGAGAGGGAACACTTTGAAAAATAAAACATTAAATACCTAGTTTAATACATTTTCAATTGAAAATCCAGCCAAAAGTAAATTGTACCCTTCGTGGAAAATGCTTATCTTGATAAAACTAATAACTTTTCAATTCTAAACCTTGAAATTCGATGAAAAAGCCAATTCCAAGCCTTTTGCGTGTGCATTTTCTCCGGCGATTTTACATTTTGCAGCTGCATAAAAAAAAAAAAAAAGACGACCACTGTACCTCACCCGTGAACTGATCATCTTAATTTTACCACCTTATTTTTTGTGATTATACCAATCTGTCATTCTCAATTCATTTATAAGAGCTACAGTGTCAACAGGGAGGTTATGCGCGACTGCGCAGACTCTTGCGGGTGCGCGGAATTTCAAAATAGCGGGCGGGATGTGAAATATTGTAACAACATTTTCTAAATTTTACTAGGAACATTTTGATGAAATCTTCCTGATTTATTTCTTTAATATTTTTACAAATTTCCTGCAAGATTTTTTTGAAATATTTCAGTGAATATTTCATTGCAATATTTCATGCTGTATGGGCTATAACCCCAGAGTGTTTTTCAAAAAATCTTCCCGAAAATCTTCCTTGCGTAGGGAAAAAAGTAAATGTTAGGTTGCAAATGACCCTACTCGTCTGCGGCTCTCGACCGCGAACCTTGATTTAAATGCTTTTTTACGAAACGAGTTACAGCACTCGCCTTCGGCTCGTGGCGTAAACCTCTCGTTTCATGAGATAAGCATTCTGGTACCCGTTGCATAATATACTATTGTCACAAACTGGTACCGATACTGACATTTTGTAATAAAATCTTTCAGGAAAGCTTTTTACAGACTGTGAAAAAGAGCGGTCACCATCGTTGATAACAAAAGCAAATAAAAAAAGATTTAATGAAGCTTCTGATGATGATCTGACTTGTGACTCTGGCATAGACGATCGTGCTGCTCCAGGGGTCCGATTATTTAACCAAGAATTCAAAATCATATCACAAAATCTCTTCAAAAAAGCAAAAAATAAAAATGTTGGTTTAGAAGATGATGGGTGTTCTGGAATGAGTCTTGAAGATCAGAGTTTTGATTCAAAAGAAGCATCGGACGAAACAAATTATTTTTATAATTTTGGAAAGAAAGAAACTGTTTCTAAAGAAGGTGTCACAGTAAGTATAATATAATTTGATCTTATCGTTCATTTTACTCTTATAAATAAATATTTACAAAATACATATAAATAATTTTAGATAAGTTACATTTGGTTGAATAGAGATTTCAAAATTATGTACGAAGATTGGAAAAGTATGTTAAAGTTAAAAGACGCAAGTAAATTTACGAAACAAATTTTAAGAGCGATGCACAGAAATGAAGACGGTTTCTTTGAAGAGGCGCTCAGTAAGCGATGCGTTAAGGCAGAACCACCCTCTTACACGCCGAACGGAAAGAATCGAAGGATTCCGCTGACCAATATGGAACATTTAACAATAACAAGTTAGAAAATTAATGTTTGAATTTTATAATTATTAAAATTTATAGTACATTTTTACACTTGAGTTTCATTTTCTTGCAGAATGTTTATCATATTTTTGTCAGAAGACTTTAAAAATAGATAATAAGCAATTACTGAACAAAGCCTTATCAAAAAAAAATAGTTATATAACGGAAGATATAAATGTCATATTGAAAAAAATGAAAAAAAAAGGCGAAACTGCTTGTTAATTTAATATATTTATAAATAAATCACTTTTAGTAATATCGTTTATTTATATCCGTTAATCTACCTAGAAATCCTAGAAATCAATTTGGAAATCCACTGGGGATCTACCAAAATTTCAACCTGAAAATCCATTTGAATTCCACCCAGATTTCCAACTGAAATTCCATTTTGAATCCACCCAGATTTCAATCTGGATATTGATTTGGAATCCAGCCAGATTTCAACCTGGAAATCCACCTGGAAATCTACCTGAAACTCAATTTGGAATCCACCCAGATTTCCACCTCGAAATTCACCTGGAAATCCATTTGGAATCCGCGCAAATTTTAACCTGGAAATCGATTTCGAATCCACCCACATTTCATTCTGGAAATCCACCTGGAAATCCACCTGCAAATCCTCATGGAAATCCAGCATGGATACACTTGGAATCCACCTGGAAATCCAGCATAGATATCCACCTGGAAATCCAGCATGGATATCCACCTGGAATCCAGCTGAAGTCCAGCATAGATATCCACCTGGAATACCAGCTGATAATCCACCTTGAAATCCGGCATGGATATCCACATGGAAATCCAGCATAGATATCCACTTGGAAATCCATCTGGAAATCTAGATTGGATAACCACATGGAATCCACCTGGAATTCACCTGGAACTCCACCTGGAAATCCAGCATGGATATCCACCTGGAATCCAGCTGGAATCCAGGTGGATCCAGCAGGATTTCCAGATGGAAATCCAGTTGGAAATCCAGCCTGGATTTCCAGCTGGATTTTTTCAACAGGGTATAATCTGGAATAATTTTATTTAGCGCGCGATAGTCAAATACGATGCACAGTGGTTGCGGTTCGCCATCTTCCGTATTCTTCTTGGGCACGCAAAAGACTGGTGATTTGAAAAGACTGCGCTAGTTGATTTTTCGATAATACCTCTTTCTAGCAATTCTTGCATTTGTTCATTTATAAATTTACTGATCTGCGGGGAGTGCCTAAACTGTCGGAGTCTGATTAGTACTTCGGAGGTAGTATAAATCTCGTGCTCGATAATACTCGTGGCCCCGAGCTTGTCGCCCTTAACAAAAAATTTGTCGCTGTAATTTTCGACGATTTCTTCAATTTTTGTTCGTTGATCTTGTTTGATATGGATCAATTTAATCAACTGAAGTAACTGTTTGACTCTTTCGTAACTATTATTAGTTTCTGGGTTAACAAGCAGTGCTGCGCAATGCGCTCTAGGTACTTTTCTTCTAATAATCGAGCGGGCTGTTAATAATGCATTTAATGCATTACTAACTATATTTGGCTTTTGTAAGTTACTTTGTGATTTAATAATTGGATCGAGGTACCTATTTAGTATTTCGAGCAAGTATATGCGATCGCTATTAATTTCAGATTCTTTATTATTTAAACAATTAATAACACTGTTAGTTAATTCTTGTATTGCCGGATAATCTGATTCTAATTTTTCTGATTTTTTCATCATTTCTGATGCTTTATTTAAAGCGTAGAGTAAATCGGATTCGTTTTCCAGAGTTTGTATGCGCATGCCAGAAGTTACAGATACAGAGTTAATTTTTTTTGTGTTCTCGGAAAGGTAGTTAACAGACAAGTTGTATAGATTGTTGGAATCTAATTTTTTTGGTGTTTCTCGGATTTTGTTTTCAGATAGCTGAGGTATATACTCTTTAGGAGTTAGTATGTGATTTTGTTTTATGGCATCGTGACCATTTTTTTACATGGGTTTTGTATACTGGTGCGTTCGTCCTCCGAGTTTCGACGGCTAGGTCCAGGAGTTTCCCAGTAGGGTCGTCGACTGAATACGAGAAGTTATCGCCAGCCTGTGCCTGCTCTTCGTTTGCGAGAGGTATCTTGCTGGGTGCCTGGTTAATTTTGTTTGTTACGGGAATAACTCCAATGTAACAGGATTTACTTTCGGTGAGAATTGGGAAAAACAAGTCATTAATTTTTAAGAGATTCCTGGCATAATCAATATGCACTCTGTATGTTTTTAATGACTCGCTTCCTATTACACCATCTTCTAATATAGGAAAATTTTCCGGTACTAGGTGAAAATCTAGTACAAAGTTATGAAAAGTTAATGAAACTTTTCCTAATGTCGAGATACTTTCTTGCGAGATCTCTCGTAGTTCGTATCTGTCTAAGATATTTATGTGGACACCGTCTGGTTCGCTTGAAATTTTAAGTAGTGAGACTGCTGCCCCGGTGTCTAGATAAAGCTAAATTTTTGTTTAGTTGTATCTATTTCAAGTTGAATTGTGGGTGACTGACTGTTAAAATGTAAAAGGATGATTTTTTGTGCGAGCGACGTTTGAGGCGATGTATTTACAAAGGCTTCTGGTCAGCGCCGAGTGTCTGGGAACCCTTGTCTTTTTCCGCCTGTTGTAATTTTTGATTTCTGAGTTTTCGTTTTTCGCAAACACTCTTCCAGTGTCCCGTTTCTTTACAGTAATTGCAAGTCGAGGAATTACTTTGTTGGAAATTTCTTGCGAATTTAAATTGACTGGGACGCTTGTTTTTACTTGATTTTGGGCGGCCTAATGTGGCTGATGGTTGGAGCGGGGACTAGTGCTATTGTGAGCCGCCGCGCGAGGCTCCGCCCACGGCTGCTGTTTAGGCTGCTGCCGTTGCTGTTGCGTAGTTCGCCGAGTCTGATTTTGATTCTGCGGTATCCGATACCGACAGTCTTTAGCTGTGTGTTTTAGCCTATTGCAAATTTGGCAGGTGTTAGTATCTTCCGCTTTCATTAATCGAACCGGCTCTATTTTAGGTTGGATTAGCGCTTTTACTGTTTCGGTTATTTCATCAGGTTCCTGTACGTTGAATTCTCGTTCAATTTCTATTGCTTTAGTTGTAGATAATTTTAAATTTTCGGCTTCTCTCATACGTGCTTTGATGACCCAATATAAACCGCGGATGAAGAATTTTACTTTGTCTTTTTCAAGTTGGTTTTTAAACCCAGCGTAGTTTCGATTTTCCCTTACTGCTACTTCAAAAAGTTTGTCAGCTACTGTTTTCACTCTATTAGAAAATGTGACTACATTCTCACCACGTTTTTGTTTTAAGGTTGCTAATTCGCCTGTTAATTGATTACAAGTTTTTGCTGATCCGAACAGTAGGTCTAAAAATTTAATCATTTGTTCTACATTATCAAACGTTTTTCCTTGCACGCTTTTAAATGCCTCACCGCTTAGATTAATTTTAATTAACTTGGTGAGATCATTTTCTTTGATTGTCGGGACTATGCTGCGTGCCTCACGACAACCGTCGATAAATAAGTGTATGGGTATGTTAAATCCATCGAATTTAGGTACGAAGTTAACAGCGTCTTTCAAGCTAAAATTTTTTATTGGCGATACTATGTTTTGTGTGGAATTCATTAGTCCTGTTCTGAAAGTTCCCGGCGTATAATATGTAGTAAATGGGCTGCTTGCAAAATTAGTTTTGTTTGTAGAGGCAAAATGTCGAGTTGGAGTGAAATCAATTTTTTCCGATTTATTATGAGCCATTTCTGGTGATTTGGAAGCGGATGGTGTGTTAGTCATAGATACGTTTGTAGTGGGCGCGTTATACGTGTCTGAATTTTCAATTGCTGTCTCGTAATCTGTTTGATTTTCAATGAGCTCAAGTAATGGAATTTCAGTTTTATCTAATTTTAATTTTTCAAATTTTATATCTGTAATAGCGTTAAGGAGGAATGCTGGATTTAAATTTTTACTAGTCATTTCAATGAGGATGTCGAATATTAGGTCATCTTTACAAAAAAAGTCCAATGGGTTTGTATCAATGTAGTCTTGTAAATTATATTTTAATCTTTGTAATTCTTCGACTCGGGTAATTTGCTTTGTTTCGGTGGGTAGATATCTTTGATGCAGATATGTGAGACATTCTGTAAGCGTAGGTTCCCTGTTCGTTGCAAAGTTTGGTTCTATTTCGCTAATTTTTTTAATTAGTATTTTGAATGTAATTAGTTTTCGTTCGTAAGGTGTTTCGACCATTGTATTTTTCTGCGATAAGATCCTAATTACCAAGAATGAGGGACCCCTAATTGTTATGTCTGAGCGAGGAGGTGTTACTGCTAGACGTAATAATGTATAAAATACTGTCGCGTTGGTAAAAGTTGGATCTTAGTCAGGAGTTAAGCAGAGGTTGGTTAAAGGGATAGCGCCTTTATTATATGTAGCGTGTTTAGGTAGATAACTTAGTTTCTTACCTTGTTAGGATTGGATTTCAGAAGAGGTTTTTACAAACAGTCTCAGGTGTTTGCGAATGATTTAAGATTTATTGTTTAAAGACAA